GCTCGCGTGCCCCCCTGCGTCGGAGGGCATCTTCAGCGAGGACCTGTCCGACGAGGATCGGCGAAGAGAGAACTGCATCAGCAGTCAGCGGCGGAGAAGGTAACGGTGTCGCTACCATTCTTTCGAGGAGCATATAGATGTACACACGTGTGCGTGCGTGTGTGTGAAACTACGCACTGTGAAAGAATCCGCTACCCACCTTTTGTTGTCGCCTTTTGGGGCCTCCTGGGAGGCCCTCGTCGCCACGGCCAGATTCGCTTCGGAATTTGTGTCAGAATACACGCTGGGAGAGGTCTGGGGAGCGGCGGTATCGGTACCTGTTGGCTTCCCCGAGCAGGGTGACGGCGAGAACGATGAGGACGACGAGGACGATGGCGAGGGTGATGGTGGCGTCGAAGACGAGGACGATGGCGGGAGTGATGGTGAGGATGACGCACGGAGGGGGGACATCGGGAATCCCAAAGCGGCGTAAGCATAAACTTCCGGAGGTCCGCGCGGATTTCTTGGATCAGTCCTTGTCCCCTCCCCTCCCTGGTGGCGCCTCTGGCGCCGCCTCTGGCGCGCTCAACGCGCCTGGGAGGCGGGCCCAAGGCCGATCCAAGAAATCCGTGCGGAAGTGTGGCTTCCCTTCGTCCAGAGGAGCTCGACCGCATCTTCCGGGAGCGGCGCGAAAACATCGACAGGAAGTTCAGGGAGCCCGATCCAGAGGTCGAGTCTCTCTCTTCTTCTCTCCGCCTCCTCCTCCTCCTCATCCGCCTCCTCCTCCTCCCTCTCTCCTCCGCTCTCTCCCACAGACCTCCCTCCCTGTGTCCGTAGTGTCCTCGTGCTCCTCCCCCACCTCTCGCATCCCCCTCGCCTTCTTCTTTTCCGTGAGTCACTGGGTACATCCCTATTCATGGACTAGTTTCTTCACAGCATATGGCAAGATAAAAGGGTCTATGGACACCGCTCCCCCCAAGGTGTCAGCCAGTGGCCGAACGCTTTCTGCCGCACCTGCGACTCTAAGGATGTGGCCTGCTGTTCGCCAACCGCTGGATCCTGACCCTCTTGCGATTGTGCTGTCTCTGGCTTTCCTCTCATGGCCGCCTCATCCTTAGAGACTGTTTAGGTTCCCCTGATGCTACCTGAGATCCGACGTAGCGAACAAAAGTTGAAACATCTTGAAAATTCACTGCCAGAGCCCCGGACCCCATCTTTCTGCGCCATTTTTCGAGCCGCATCGTTCTGTAAGGGCCCCCAGGCCCGAAGCCGACAGAATCAAGACGCCAGGATATCAGGGTATAGCGAGCCTGGTAGTTCACCTCCTCTTGCAGAGGTCGAGTCCTTCATGAAGCCCCTGCCGTTCGTCGCCATCTCCGCAGCCGGGCAGAAGCTCGGCTTCGGCCCCCCGCAGGAGGAGCAGCCCGCCCCGGTCCCGGGCAGCCTGCCGCACAGGCCCTCGTCGTCGTCCTTCTTCCTCACTGGCGTGGGAGGATCGGGGGGCACCAAATCGCTACGTCGAGGAAGAAAAGGCTGCATGAGCATAAACTTTCGGAGCTCCGCGCGGATGTCTCGAATCGGCGCTGGGCCCTCCTGGCGGCGCCTCCGGCGCCGCCCCCTGGCGCGCGGAGCGCGCCAGGGATGGGAGCCCAGCGCCGATCCTGGAAATCCGCGCGGGCCCTTCGGAGTTTTGTGTTTATGCAGATGCTTCCTATCTCGGCCACGCGCAGAGGGGGGCAGGGGGAGAGGGGAAGGCTTCTTCGAAGCACCCCTGCTTCTCAGAAGGCGCGGGCCGTATCTATAAATGTAGGGCCGGCGCCCTCTAAGGAGCAGCCTCCTTCTGAGAAGCCTTCCCCCTTATTCTTGTTCGCCTGCAGCCAGAACTCTCTGGGGCACGGCCTGCTCAGGTGTGCGCAGGCACGAGCATCCAGCGGCCCGTCCTCCCCGCGAGGCGTGAGCCCCCTCAGACTTCGAGCGGATTGATGTTTCGATTCGGCGGCGGAATCCGAGCGCTATCGAAGGCGCCAGCGGCGAATCACCGCCGCCCCCCGCCTCTTTGGAAGCGCCCGTGCGGCCGAAAGCTGGCCTCGAGCTCGGCCAAGCTATCGGACCATGTGTTCCCCCAGCCGTCGTTGAAACCCTTCGGGGAACACGAGAGGAAGAGGAGAATGAGGAGCAGAAGGAAAGGGGATGATGATGAGGAGGAGGAGGAGGAGTAAGAAGAGGAGGAGGAGGAGGAGGAGGAGGAGGAGGAGGAGGAGGAGGCGTAGGAGGAGGAGGAGGAGGAGGAGGAGGAGGAGAAGGAGGAGGAGGAGGAGGAGGAGGAGGAGGAGGAGGAGGAGGAGGAGGAGGAGGAGGAGGAGGAGGAGGAGTAGACCTCTTTGGAGTCTCTTGGGCACTCTTGGGGTCTCCTGGGAGCTCGCTGGGAGCCTCTTCGAGGCCTCTTTGGGGTCTCCTTCGGCCTCTTCGGGGCCTTTAGGGGCTTGCTCAGAGCCTCTTTGGCAGTCTCAGGGCGTTTCTGGGCCGTCTGACGCCGTCGGGAGCCATCTTGGGGGCCTCTCTGGACCGTTTTGGGGCCCTCTTGGGGGTGCTCCAGGGCCGTCTTGGAGGCCATTTTGGCCGTCATGGATGCCTCTTTGGCCTTCTTGGGCCCTCCTCTGGGCCGTCTTGGGGGATTCTTGGGCCGTCCTGGGGCCATCTTGGAGGCCTCTTGGGCGCTCTGGTGACGATCTGGGGGGCCTCTTGGGCTGTCTTGGGCTGTCGGAAGGCCGAAAAGAAGCAGATGCCCAAATCATTCAAAAACCGGTAGATAATCAATGATTTTGGCCTCCTCGGGGTCTCCTGGAGGACCTTTTGGAGGCCTCTTGGGCCGTCTTGGAGGCCTCTTGGGGGCCTCTTGCGCCGTCTTGAGCCGTCTTGGAGGCTTCTTGAGCAGACTTGGAGGCATCTTGGACCCTCTCGTGCCGTCTTGGAGGCCATCTTGGACCGTCTTGAGCGAACCTGGAGGCCATCTGAGCCGTCTTGGAGGCCATCTTGGGCCATCTTGGTTGGTTGTCTTGGAGGCGATTTGGGCAATCACCCGGGCATTATCGGCAGCCTTCCACGTGGCCGGCGGGATCGGCCGAAGCCCCAGGGGGAGTTCCTTTGGAAAAGAACCCAAACCAAGCCGTATGGGGTCTAGCACGCCAGGCACCCGTGTGGCAAGACCAAAGAGGGCGGCGGATCGAAGACGCATACGGCGAATCACTGCCGCCCCCTGACTTTTTGGAAGCGCCTGCGAGGCCGAAAATTGGGTTTGAGCTTGGCCAAGCTATCGGGCCACGCGTTCCCCGAGTGGGTTTCGAGAGCCTTCGGGAACACCGAGTCGGGTGAGCTATCGGACCAAGTGGTTTCCGAGTTTTCGGGTCTCCTGGTGGACGTCTTGGATGGGTCGTGGGCCGTCTTGGAGGCTTCTGGCTGGCCTTTTGGGCAGTCGAAGGCCATCTTCAGGCCATCTGGGGCCGTCTTGGGTGCATCTTGGGGCCATCTTCGCTGTCTTAGAGGCCTTCTTGGCCGTCTTGGAGGCATCTAGGAGGCCATCGTGGCCGTCTTGGAGGCCATCTTGGGCGTCTTGGGGACCTCTTAGGCCGTCTTAGGGCCTTCTTGGGGCCCTCTTGGGGGCCTCGTTGGCTGTCATGGGGCCATCTTGGAGGCATCTTGGGCGCTCTTGGGATGATGTTGGGGGCCTCTTAGGCCGTCCTGGAGAGCTGAAAAGAAGAAAATGCCCAAATCCTTCAAACACTTAGGGAAAATCAATGATTTTGGCCGTTTCGGGCCTTCCTTGAATACGTCTTGGAGGGCTCTGCGGCCGTCTTGGAGGCCTCTTGTGGGCCTATAGGGCCGTCTCATGCCATCTTGAGGCCATCTTGGGCCGTCTTGGGTGCATCTTCGGGACTTCTTAGCCGTCTTGACGGCCATCTTGGGCGTCTTGGAGGCATCTTGGAGGCCATCTTGGCCGTCTTGGAGGCCATCTGGTGCTTCTTTGGGGCTTCTTGGGCCGTCTTGGGGCCTTCTTGGGGTCGTCTTGGGGGCCTCTTGGGCCGTCCTGGGGCCGTCTTGGGGGCTCCTTGGAAGCCTCTTGGGCCGTCTTGGAGGCCTCTTGAATGCCTCTGGGGCCGTCTTGGGTCGTCTTAGGTGTTTCTTGTGCGAAATTGGAGGCATCCTGGATTCTCTTGGTCCGTATCTTGGACCATCTTGGGCGAACTTGGAGGCCATCGTGGGTCATCTTGGAGACTATCTTTGAGCCGTCTGGAGGCAGGAAAAACATTGGCAACCACCTTTTTGGCAGTCTTTGGGTCCTTTCGGGTGGCCGGCGGAACGGGCCGAAGCCCCAGGGGGAGTTTTAAAAGAATCAAGACCGTCTGGGATCTATCACGCCAGGCACCCCTGTGGCAGGCCAACAGGGGGCGGCGGATCGAAGACGCCTACGGCGAATCACCGCCGCCCCCTGCCTTTGTGGAAACGCCTATGTGGCCGAACGTTGAGGCCAGACCTGCCAAGCTATCGGACCTTGTGTTCCCCGAATCGGTTTGGAAAGCCTTCGGGGAACACGTGGGTATCTTGAAGGTCATCTCGGCCGTCTGGAGGCCATTTGGACCCTTTCGGGCCTTGTTGGAGGACGTCTTGGAGGGCTCTTGGGCCGTCTTGGAGGCCATCTTGAGCGTCTTGGAGGCCTCTTGGGCCGTCTTGGGGGCCTCTTGGGGCCGTCTTGGGCCTCTTGGGCGATCTTTGGGGGCACTTGGGCCGTCTCGGGCCGTCGGAAGGCCGAAAAAAAGCAAACGCCACAATCCTTCAAAAGCTCATGGGAAGTTAATGATTGTTGCCCTTTCCGGCCTTCCTGGAGGCCCTCTTGGTCAGGCCCCCGGAGACCAGGACACAGACAAACCAGGACACGGAAAACCAAGGAAACGACATCCTTTCCTGCAAGGTCACGTTTTTCAGCACCCGTGCATGTTTTGTTTGCTGCACTGCAGGATTCGGGTTTGTGTCTGGGTTTAGGGGGGTCTTGCAGGCTTTTGAGGCTTGTGTCCGGGTTTATTCTGGAAATGCTGCAGTGCAGTATTTTGTTCGTACCGCCGTTTGGAAATTGCGGTTTCGAGGGATGTTGGGTGTCCGGGTCTAGCGTGTCCGGGTCTACGGGGCCCTGACTTGGAGGCCTCTTGGGCCGTCCTGGGCCACCTTAGGGCCATCTTCGGCCGTCTTGGTGGGCCCCTGGCCCGTCCGACGCCGTCGGAAACCGTTTGGGGGGCCTCTCTGAGCCGACTTGGGGCCCTCTTGGAATGCTCCAGGGCCGTTTTGGAGGCCACCTTTGGCGTCTTAAAAGCCGTCTTGGGGGCCTCTTGGGCCCGTCTTGGGGGCCTCTTGGGCCGTTCTAGGGCCATCTTGGAGGCCTCTTGGACGATCCTTGGGCGATCTTTGGAGGCTCTTTGGGCCGTCTCGGGCAGTCGGAAGGCCGAAAAGAAGCAAATGCCAAAATCTTTCAAAACCTTAAGGAACATCTATGATTTTGGCCTCTTCGGGCCCTCCTTGAGGACCTCTTGGAGGCTTCTTGGGTCGTGTTGGGCCGTCTTGGAGGCTTCTCGGGCGACCTTGGAGGTATCTTGGACTCTCTTGCGCCGTCTTGGAGGCCATCAAAGAGCATCTTGGGCGGACTTGGAGGCCATCTTGGACCATCTTGGAGGCCATCTTGGGCCAACGTGGCCATCTTGGAGGCCATCTTGAGCCTTCTTCGAGGGTTTTTTCCGGGATTGAGCTCCTGGGCACTCCTCCCAGGACCCCGGCGGGACGCGCCAGAGCCCCAGGGGGAGTTCTTTTGGAAAAGAACCAAAACCAAAACCGAAAGGATCCAGCACGCCAGGCACCCCTGTGATGAATCAACAGGGGGCGGCGGATCGAAGACGCCTGCGGCGAATCACCGCCGCCCCCCGCCTTTGTGGAAACGCCTATGTGGCCGAACGTTGAGGCCAGACCTGCCAAGCTATCGGACCTTGTGTTCCCCGAATCGGTTTGGAAAGCCTTCGGGGAACACGTGGGTATCTTGAAGGTCATCTCGGCCGTCTGGAGGCCATTTGGATCCTTTCGGGCCTTCTTGGAGGACGTCTTGGAGGGCTCTTTGGCCGTCTTGGAGGCCATCTTGAGCGTCTTGGAGGCCTCTTGGGCCGTCTTGGGGGCTTCTTGGGGCCGTCTTGGGCCTCTTGGGCGATCTTTGGGGGCACTTGGGCCGTCTCGGGCCGTCGGAAGGCCGAAAAAAAGCAAACGCCACAATCCTTCAAAAGCTCATGGGAAATCTATTATTTTGGCTTGTTCGGGCCTTCCTGGAGGCCCTCTTGGAGGCCTCTTGGGCCGTCTTGGGCCATCTTAGGGCCATCTTTGGCCGTCTTGGTGGGCTCCTGGCCCGTCAGACGCCGTCGGAAGCCGTTTGGGGGGCCTCTCTGAGCCGACTTGGGGCCCTCTT